GTTGGGAGGACCATCGACTTAATAGTGAGTCCATTCGTTTCCGCGGCGTGAGCGGCGGCGCTGCTCAGCGGCAGCTGAGTCATTTTTTAAAAGTAGCACTCGACGAACCGCCGACGCCTTATGTCGAGCGCAGCTGCCGTCGACGGCGTTTTAGACGCGGAATCGCGAGACCTACGACCTACGCGGATACTCGCGAGGAGGTTAACCGTTGCGAGGGACTGGCGCGGAGGTCGACGCAGCAGAGGGAAAAGCCCGCGGAAACTCGTCGCCGCCCGTTGCCGGGCTTGCGCGATCGTGGCGTTTGCCCAGCGTGGGTTGAGAGGCCTACGGTCGGAGATCGGAACGAACGGTTTTGTGGACAGCTGGTAACGGGTAGTAGATGCGCCGGCGATATCTCGCGATGCCTTGCCCCAGAGTCTCAGCTGACTTTAATTTTCGACAAACCAATTCACGACTCGGGCGTGTATAGGTTGTGCGCGCGATGCACAATGTTGCGTACGGCGCGCGACAGATGGCCAGCGGACGTAAAGAGCCGTTGCTCCCATTAGAAAGTATCTATACTGGACGGCAGTTGTAAAAAGGCAGGTTCTTTCTTCGATCCAATTGGATTTTTGTGCGCGCGCGTGTGTGTGTGTGTGTGTGTGTGTGAAAGAGAAAGAGAGAGAGAGAGATAACGATGGCGGCGAGGTGGTGAGGAGGTTGCAGGGGTGGAGGAGTAGGAGGAAAAGGAAGAGGGGGGGGGGCATGAGATGGAGGATGGGAGATCAAGGTGGTTGGATTGGATCGTACCACCGGTTTAATGGCGTTGGGGGGGGGGGGGGGGGGACGCCGATTGTTGATAGCCATTCGTATCGCGAGTGTCTCCACGTTAGGGCCGCTCCACGTTCTTTATTACTTGTCACCTCGAGGTGGTGACGCGGCATACGTAGGGGTTTCGCGGAGCCCGTGGCGCGCACCGCCAAACCAAAGCGATTAGTCGACTAATCGATCGGCTGCTTCGATAATGCGTAGCAAAAGCTTAAGGTTTCGAATGCGATGGAGCGGCCACTGATTGTCAAAATTGAAATAACATCGAGCACCGACGAATCATACCCTTTACTTACTTACTTACTTATTTATTTATTTACTTACTTACTTACAACCCAACAAGCGCTTATATATTTCCAATGTATTTTAAAATTATATATAAAGGAACAATACTATATAAACGGCTAGATTAATGTTTCCGGTTTCACAGATAGTCGATCGAATCGGCTGCACGACGCAAGATATTTGCTAGGGAACAAGTACACGTTGAATTCATTATTTTACCGCATACGTAAGCAACAATATT